CCAGCTCTACACTTTGTTATCTCGTAATCCTGTAAAGTTCCCTTGTGCAGGAAAAATGTTGCTAGTCCCTAAATTTGCAGTCTGTTTGGAAATCTTATTCACAATTTTCATTACTGTTCATAATATATAAAACAGTTTGTTGAACTAAATCTTTCGAAGTATTGACTAATTTTATCTCATTATTGTTGTCTTCTCTCATGTCCCCAGGGTATTCTAGGATTCTACAGGGGCTACGGAAGTACAGTAAAACGAGAGGTCAGAAATACCACGTCTTTTGAGTTTATAGATTTTGTTTTGAAGTTAATCAACTGATTTGTGCCACTTAAATGTCCATGGAGTGATTGTAGGTGATAAATTCACCATTTTCAACCTTTAACTATAAAATCTCCTGACTTATTCTTGCCTTTTTTCCCCCCATCACCATAACTTGTAGCTTCAAATTGGATAAACCTATCCTTTCAGCCTGTGTGTGACTTTACAATGCTAAAAATTAGCCCAGTATTCTCTCTCTCTATGCAGTATGTGTCGATGGATTGTGCTTGCATTTTCAAGGTGGCCCAAAGCTGTTAGTTATAAAAAGAAATAGCACTGGCTGAGTGAGTCAGGTCAATAAGGATTGTATTTTCTGGCTTGGTAGAATTTGAAAGATGATGGAATCATTTGAAATCCAGTAGGATATTTAATTTGTACAGAATTGTTTTATTGCTGACTTTAAAGAAAAAGGACCACAAAGGAATGAAATGATGAAATTTTGTTTCTTTACAAGTAGTGTTTTGGAAACAATTCCACAAAATAAGTCAGATATAATGTCGAAGATAAAATTTGCTTTGCCAGTGATTGAACTGATTGCTGTCTCATGATATTAGCTACAGTGGATCCCTTCAGAGTGCATTAGAAATGAAGAATTTCTATCAATGCAGTTGGGTCTTCCAAGATAAAGAAAGAATCATCATTTTTCAGATTGGGGAGTTTTGAAGTAGTCTGGTCTTTCTTTTTTCATATTACTCAGTGATTGCCCAGCTCAGGAATAAAAAATAAAGCTCTGGAAATACTCAGCAAGACTGTCAGCATATTTGGAGAGAAACATTAATTGTTTTATCAAATAGAAAACATAAACATAGAGGACATTTTTTAAAAAAAAAGCAGGAGTAGGCCATTCAGCCCATCAAATCCACTCCATGATTTAATATCATCATGGCTGATCCTCTCTCCCAACTGACACTCTCGCCCCATACCCCTTTTATATATTTAGCTTCTAGCAGCTTGTGGATAACTACCTGTTTATTTCTTAAATATATTCAGGGCCTTTACCTATGCAGTCTTTTGTGGGGACAAATTCCACAGGTTCACCTCCTCTCAGTCCGAAATGACCTACTGCATATCCTGCGACTATGACCTATTGTTCCCCACCCCGGGCCAGGGGAAATGTCATCTCTGCACCCAGTCTGTCCAGCCTTGTCAGAGCGTGATACTTAGTGAGATCCCCTCTCATTCTTCTAAACTCCAGTGAACACAGGCCCGGTTGACCCAATCTCTCCTGATGAGACAAATGCAATAGGATTGAGAAACACTGCCTCGTGGTTCCTTTGGTCGGTAACCAGTGTGTGGTACTTTGGTTTCTTGTCCTTGTGTAAATGTTTTTGCATTATATATTTTATATAATGACATTCACAAATTTGGGTCACAGCTATTGAAATACTGTTGAATCTTTATAATGTAGACAAACATGGCATCCCACTTGCGCATTGCGGGATCCCACAAATTCAGTAAGATTAATGGCCCTAAAAGCTCCAGTGTAAAATGGCACCACAAGAATTTGGAACATATGAAGGAGCAAGTACTTTACATTCCATACACCCATCTCTAGGATTACATTCCTCTTTAATTATAATAGCTCTTTGGAAGAAGTGCCACAGTTGTGGCTAAATTTGATATTAGAGTAATTTGTAGTTGGTAGTCCATGATTTGGTTTGTGAATGTGGGATCCTATGCTGCTCTTAGAATATCCTAACTTTAAAACAAAATCTGTTGAGTTAGGTTTCAAATGAAACAGTTTATCTTTCTAATGTATGTTTCAATATCTACTTACCTTCACTTTTATTCACTCCAGGAGCATCATTAATTGACCATATAAAGTTTGTGGAAAAGTGTGTAAGCAAGTAACATCTGGCTTGTAATCACTACCTGGGGCCTCTATTAGTCCTTTGAGTAAAAGGAAATGACTTCTATGCCAGAGTGAATGTTAACACTAATATGATGCACGTAATTTGCATACAGTTTCAGATGTGAGATTTATTCATGAGAATTTAAGGCAGTACAATTACTCATGCCGTTTGTATTCTGTTTACTTCATTTTGAAATAAATTGAAATACTTTAAGCATTTCTGAAGTTAATTATAGGCAGGTGTTTTGTGGTTAAGAAAATTGTTGACATTGATAAATGTTGTAGTAGTCACTGTACTTGACATGGCTGGTATGAGTGAGTTAACAAAGTATTTTCCACATTTTCTCTAATGGAATATAACTTCACTTGTGTACTAACTGATAGTCAGTCCTGGCGATAGTTCTGTTCCATTGGTTCCTTTATATTATGTTTTATCTAGTGCTAAGGATTCATGTGAAATGTATTCTTTGTATGCCTAAGTTAAAGATTGCCAAAGTACAGTCTTGTGTATATTATTCAAGAAAGGTTGCCTGAATGCTTTTGCATCGTCACAGGATTTGTATAAGCACAGTATGGAGTTTAGGTGTTAAGGTACAGAACTGCATTTGAAAGCACAGCAAATGAAGCAATATGCAGCCTCTAACATTATAAAGCAAAATAGTGAAAAATTAAAGCAATGAAAGACAGATGTGATCCATGGACAAATCAATACCTTTATCATCTGAAGTCACAGAAAAAATCTTCAAACATCTGACTTCGTCTGATATAGAATCAATGAAAGATGACTGTGCCCTGCAAGTAAAAATGTTATTGTGTGGTAGCTTTCCCTGCTCCTTTCATTTTAAAATTACCTTACTGCATTATCTTGTTCTGTAAATGAAATGCAGCTGCTCAAATTTAGACAAACCTTTATATATAAAATATATGCATGTATATGCGTATGTAGGGTGTGGTGGCATTGCAGAAAGACTTGTTTTACCTTTGTGGCTTCTGTACATCTGTTTACTTAATCACAGCAAGTAAGAATCTTGTCTAGAGGGCCTCTCGAGCTTCTTAATCCTCTTCAAATTGGTTATCACCTGGTGGCACAGTTGCAGAATACCCCCTATTGAAGCAAAATTAAAATCCTTGTCAAAGCCCATTAAGATTCATGCTAGGAACAAAAACAAGAATTGCTAGAAAAAGCTCAGCAGGTCTGGCAGCCTCTGTGGACAGAAATCACAGTTAACATTTCGGGTCCAGTGACCCCCCTTCAGTTCAGAGGACTCAGGTCCAGCCTTACTGAGCTTTTCCAACAATTTCAGTTTTTGTTTCTGATTTCCAGCATCTGCAGTTCTTTCGGGTTTTATTTAAGATTGATACTAGCCTGGATTTGACAGTGAACTGGCTTTTGATGGGTGGGTTAACCACCTGTCCATAAGTTTGTATTTAAATCAGAAATGGTAGAATACAGTGGCTCTCTGGCAGATGAGAAACCCAGACCATTTTAACTATACACGTGCACTGGTCCTGTTAGGAAGATCAGGTTTAAATATCCTCCTCACAGTGGCATTCACAACAGAGAATTTTAGTACTTTGTTTGCATTGCTTCAGAATTGGACATTGGTGTTTGTCACCTGTTGTGGAGAGAGATACCATACCATGAACAGAAATACTCAATTCTGAGATAGTGGGAACTGCCGATGCTGGAGAAACTGAGATAACAAGGTGTAGAGCTGGATGAACACAGCAGGCCAAGCAACACCAGAGGAGCAGGAGAGCTGACGTTTCAGGTCTAGACCCTTCTTCAGAAAAAAAAAAGTACAATTTTATTTTCTGAAGAAGGGTCTAGACCTGAAACGTCAGCTTTCCTGCTCCTCTGGTGTTGCTTGGCCTGTTGTGTTCATCCAGCTCTACACCTTGTTATCTCAGTACTCAATTCTGCTTTTCCAGGAATTTTACATGAGCACCATATTTGTCAACATTGCCTATGGCCTCTCTGTCCTACACTGTGTTCTAGACTTCTTAGCTACAAATTTAATAGTTTGATTTATTTAGTTTAAATTCTCCCATGGTCTCACCCATCTCTATCTTTGTAATCACCTTCAAAGTCTCCTTCACCTTCCAAATTCTCAACTCCTCACATCTCCTGTGTATTACAAATCCCTTTTGCACCATAATTGGTGGCTGTGCCTTCAGATGCCAAATCCCAATGATCTGGACATCCTAACCAAAGCCCCTGTTGCCTATCCATACTTCCTACTCCCTTTTTGCGTTCTGCTTGAAACCAACATCCCAATACTTTCTCTGTTTCATGCTTTACAATTATACAAAGCACTTTGGGATGCTCCTTTATAATTAAAGGCACTCTATAAATACAAGGTATTTCTTGGCTGTTTTCTCCTTGAGGATTTTCCATTCCCCTTGGAAAAACTTGTGAATTTTTCATTGTCCTTACAAAAGGTTGTGGAAAAATCCAGGTTCACCAATTTTAAAAATGTCTTTATGGTTATAGTAAGGTACTACATGATCTTGGAAGCCTTTCAGTGCTTTCTGTGAAGAAGTTGCTGGCTTCCCTTTCTGCCTTGGCTGAGCTTGTATGTTGGTTAAGTGGTTGATTCAGAAGCACAGTCGATTCCACAACTTTTAAAAATATATTTTCTTTATTAGTAAGCAACATTGACTGGCTCACAAAGGTTTGTAGCTCTGCTTTGCCTGAAACCAGTCGAATTTGAGCTTAGCCACAGATTTCACTGTTGGATGGGAAACTCAAATTGACCAGCAGTTTTAGTTGAGGTTCAATTTGAGATGATGTTTAATAAGAAATAACTTGAAGACAACCGCATCAAATGAACTCTACACTATTATTAGGATTCTTCCTACCACTAATAATAAATGAACAAATATTATGGTGACATTACAAAATTAAAAGGTTTTTAAATCTGGTAGTGGTTATCTCCGGAGGAATGCAAAGCACAGTTTGTGAAAGGTAAAAGGCTGTTAGATCTCAATAGCGTCTAATAGGTTTACATGCAAAAACAATTACTGGGGGAAAGTGGTGAGCTATGAAGAAAAATACTCCTTGAATATGGACTACATACTTGATCACCAA